AAAAAGAGAGAAGGGAAATCAGCAATATCAAAAAGCTTTGAAGTGTAGAGTGTCTGACACTGATACACCACTGTGCGTGAACTGGGAACTGGGAAGTAGTGCTTCACAGGCTTGGAATGAATGAGACTTCAAGATTGATTGAAAAACATGAGAACTTGAACAATGGGATAACTTCTAAACTTGTTTTTGGCTGGATAGGCAAATGTGTATAAATTCAGCAATGGATTGTTGTATCAAAGTATGCTGGACAGAATTGGTTACCTTTTAAAAAAACACAAAATTACTCCAGTTTATACATTTCAGACTTGTCTTGTATGTATCTTAACACAAACTTAAAAGTCACAAAGTCATCAGAATTCATTAATAAACAATTAAACATCTAATGCAAAGATGTACAAGGAATCGAAACCCCTTTCTTCGAGGATGTGCTGCCATTAGCTATAAGAAATCACCAAGTTTGTCACATGAAAACCAATCTATTTGACTTGGTTCTCTAAGCATGATCTTCAAACTGTTGCAGAAGATTCTGTTAGCGTCAGTACCTGACATCAATATCCTTCAGATATCAAAGGGAGCCTTTCCATTGAGGCAAACTTTATCAACCATGTGCTTCAGGGAAGAGAACCACACTAGACTGCCTGTAAATTCCTCATTGAAGATGAAACCTGCTACACTCCTGAAAGGCAGCCTTTCCATTGAGGCAAACTTTATCAACCATGTGCTTCAGGGAAGAGAACCACACTAGACTGCCTGTAAATTCCTCATTGAAGATGAAACCTGCTACACTCCTGAAAGGCAGCCTTTCCATTGAGGCAAACTTTATCAACCATGTGCTTCAGGGAAGAGAACCACACTAGACTGCCTGTAAATTCCTCATTGAAGATGAAACCTGCTACACTCCTGAAAGGCAGCCTTTCCATTGAGGCAAACTTTATCAACCATGTGCTTCAGGGAAGAGAACCACACTAGACTGCCTGTAAATTCCTCATTGAAGATGAAACCTGCTACACTCCTGAAAGGCAGCCTTTCCATTGAGGCAAACTTTATCAACCATGTGCTTCAGGGAAGAGAACCACACTAGACTGCCTGTAAATTCCTCATTGAAGATGAAACCTGCTACACTCCTGAAAGGCAGCCTTTCCATTGAGGCAAACTTTATCAACCATGTGCTTCAGGGAAGAGAACCACACTAGACTGCCTGTAAATTCCTCATTGAAGATGAAACCTGCTACACTCCTGAAAGGCAGCCTTTCCATTGAGGCAAACTTTATCAACCATGTGCTTCAGGGAAGAGAACCACACTAGACTGCCTGTAAATTCCTCATTGAAGATGAAACCTGCTACACTCCTGAAAGGCACATCGCCATTGCTGATTCTTACTGCTCAGTAGGAGCAAACTAATAGTTTCTTTGAAAGCAAATACAGCGTCTTAACTGCATAATTTAGGATGCCTCTCAACTTTCAATCTTTAGAAGTAAATACAGCGCCTCCTGAACAAGCACAGTGAAATCTGCAAGAAAAACCAATCAACATTATGCCCTCCAAGATCAAAAGCACTAAGGATTCTTCCAACAGTTTTAAAAATTCGAACAAATATGCACTAGGATTCTCGCTGTTAAAAAGAACAAGGGAACATGGCCAAGAAGTGCATGATACAATGCCAAGTTCTGAATGAAGTATGTTAGGCATCCGTTCTGATTATTTGCAGTTGGTGCCCAAACACTTCATGCCAAAAATTTGCCCATTTTGGCAACATGGTCTAACTACCATTGGAGTTCTGATTCTTTTTTATATCTATTATCTGTAATTTGTCCCTGGAAGCTTTTATTATGGAATCTACGTCGTGATCCAAATAACAAATAATGTTGTTGTGTCAGGGGTTGGCATTTTACCAAATTCATTTCGTCCAGAGACCTTTAACTCTGTGCAGCATAGTAATGAGGGGCCAACTCAGGTAACCACAAAGGATCTATTCGTGTTATATTGCGAATGAAATCATCATTTGTCCGAACAAGTTCATTGAATATAACACATTCTGGCTTTGTCCGGAAGAACACCGAAGATGGATGGATCCGAACTATCTGGGAATTAGCCAGTGCCCTGAAACAAAAAAAGTGGAATTAGCCGAACTAATTTGTTTTTGACAAATGAATTGATTTTGACATTACTTGATAA